CTCGAGAAGAGATTTGTCGGGATGCTGTGTGCGAAGCTCTAACTCGCGACGCATGTGGCGCTCGTATTCAGGAGAAAGGAATTCGCTACGGAAGAGGGCCCTTAACTCCTCCATCGAGCGAGCTTGGTGGCCGACGAGCCAGTACCACCTCGCCCTTTTGGCTGTCAGCGACACGGGCAAAACAGAGCCTAGCATAACGCTGTAACTCAGCCACGTAGCCTGCTGATAGCGGTGCAGTGCCTCGAGGTACTTTGTGGCAATGATGCGGTCCGAATAATCGCTGTACTCAGGCAGAGGTACCCTTAAGCTACTCGGAACGCTAGTCTGAGGGGACTCGGAGTCTCCCTTAAAAGCACAAGGCTGCGAGCGCACTGCTTCCAACAGAACGTTTAAGAGCTGCGCCGCAGTTTGTAGTGGTGATTGCTCCAAGGCTGGCGCGGCCGTAACAGGCGCGCGTGCCCTTTTCCCAACATGCGCGTCTGACCGAAAAGGGCCAGTACTTGGCATGGAGGAGGGTAGGGTTTGCGCTTCGACTGGTGCTTGAGGCCTCACGCGACTGGTGAACGGGTCGACAGCGGAGCACAGTGCCCAATGCCCGTCGAAAACGTCGCTAATGCTAGTCTCAGGCCAGCGAGTGTCGTTGAACGCGGCGACGTTGTCGGTTAAGCGAGCAGGCTCGCAAACAACATCATCAACCCTTTGCGCTCGTGACCACGACGGGTCAGTAAGCGCGTTCCCGCCAACATCTGAGTGCCCCCGGTAGGAAGGACTGGGTGCGGCGATTTGATCTGTCAACCCCGCTGCTGACGGGGAAAGGCCAGCGAGCGGAGTCTGCGCCGGGGACGGGCCCGTAAGCGCATGAGTCTCGAACAGCTGATACAGCCCGTTACTGGCTTGGCTAGGACTGTGGTCCTCGTTCAAGCGACTCGCATCACCGTAGGGGGCCCCGAAAAAGGAATCTCTCCCGGTGATTGAAAGCAGAGGGTCGCCGAGAGGGCCGTACCCTGTGCTGTTGCAGCCGTCCGCCTCGATCGAGATCAAGTCCGTCGCCACAGGATCGAACAGGAACGAGCGCCTCGAAGGGGTCTGCTCTGAAGCCATGCCGAAACCAAGTTGGGCGCCAGTTACGTGAAGATAGGTTTGCACTACGCTTACCTACTAAGCGCAACCGTGTAGGGATGAGACGTCCTCCACTGCCGCTGCGTGCGAAGACGCTGTGGCCGGGTTCGTCAATTTCTCCGGCACGGTGCAGAAACCACGCACGAGGCCGGATAACAACAAAAACGGGTTTATTAACCCAAGATGCAGCACAATGCGACACTCATGGGCTTGCAGGCCTTATAGGGAACTCCGCAAGACCGAGCAAGTACGCTTGCCTAGGGTGCGACGACTGTCGCACAAGGGCCGAAGTCGAACGCACGAACGAGAAGCCGCCTGCTGAGCAGCGCGTCAACCTCTCGTGGAGGCCTGAGAGCATCTGCCACGACAAGCGAATCGTCGGGCGCAACATAGCTCGTAGGAGAGGAGGATGTCACGCGCGGCTCAAAGGGAAATGGTGCTGCGTTCTGACGTAGGCCCGCGCAGCGCGCCAGCGTAGCGTGCCCTGACATGCCAGCGCGAGGAGGAGCGGACTGTTGACTGGCCCAGACCAAGAGGCGCCCTGGCAGCCATCTTGGCAAATGCCGGTGCTTATGCGCGCCCGGGCTACGCTGTCGGTGCGCGCGCGGCTGCTGGGGAACGAGGCGCCAGGTAGGAGGGCGCTATCGATTCCACTCGCCAGACTAAGAGTTCTGGCCAATAAACATGTAGACCTTAGACTTCTTCTTTCGGTTCATTGGGTGCAGTTAGAGTTTAAATACGCTTAAAAATTTTTTAAATGTGATAAAATAAATGTGCACTTGCCCAGAGTCGTATATCTGGGAACTTTTGATAATTCAAACTTCTTGATAATTCAAACAAAATTCAGAGGTCTCTTCAAGTTTGAATTAATGAGAGTCAACTGTAGTAAAGTGAAAATTGCCTTGGGGCTGCTTGGTTCAGAACTGTCGGACCGTCCTGCGAGAGCTGTTTACACTGCATGGGAGCAACAGCTACTAGCGGCCAATAGCTGGCCAAATTTAAACAAATATGCCTTCCTGCCTGCAAAAATAACATTTATTATAAGACAATCAAAAGAAGAGACAGCAAAAGCCTGCTAAAAACTTCTTTACTATCAACCTAGTCTTTGCTGCTGTACAGGGGCTTAATAGCGTTCTTGTACTCACTGTAACGGTACTCGCTCACTAAAGAATGTGCGCTACAATTTTGTCAACAGCCGGTGCTGGTGATTTTTTGTAACCATGCTTTGGAATACATTCAGCATGTATTAGCGTAACTGGCCTTCCCCATACAGCTGAGCAAAATCAAAATGATTGTCACACGGACCCTCCCCCCTCTTCTTGCAAAAATTCTTTTGCTTGCAGAACTTCGATGTTACTGTTGCATAACTATGAGAGGCACATATTTTCTGTCAAGTTCAACAGCCAATTGCATTTTCCCAACAACACATGCTCATTGGTTCGCGCAAAGGTCTGTCAAAAACCACAATGTTGCCAAAACAAGCAAATTCAAATTGAGTCTGAAACTTCAGTGACCGGACTAACTAAAAGGAATGGCTTGGTACACGAGAAACAAATTAATCATGCCAAATTTGACAACTCAAATCATTGATTGCTTTGAATAAGCCTGGTAACGAAAAGGTTAATTGATGTCGTGGTATACAAAAACTAGAAAACATCGGTTCAACAGCCCAAGGTGGTGTTGTCCAGATGTGGCACAGAAAATAGTCTGTATATAGTGGGCACGAGGAGCAGCAAGTTTGTACAGCTGTAAAGGTTGATGGCTATTCTTGCTCCGAAGAGTGTGGGCCTGCATCCTTACACTCCAGATTTGACGTTGTGAGACGCATGGTGGTTCAGATGGCAGATGCGCTTCTGTCATGTAAGTGGGGCCTTTTCCTCCTCTTGGGGTTCAGCTTGGGATAGATGCGGGGTCGCAACAGCTGCGCCAATTTGATACCATTCCCCATTGTTGTGCCAAGCTGTGCCACAACCACAGAATTTGTCGAAATTGCTTCACATTGTGCCAAAATACCCGACCAGCCTGAGCTAACTGATATGTACTCATTAGGCCAGGACAAGAGCGCTGTGTGCCCATCAGTCCCCTAACAGCAGCGGCAGACGATGCAACTTCAAGGCGAAATGTGTTGCCTTAGCCAACAACACTTCGCAGGAAATGTGAATTTCCTTGTCAGAGAGTAAGACTAAAACTGTAATCATATGCTGCTGCTACTGCTTGCCAAAAAACTGAACGTGCTACAAACGCCGGCGTCGCCGATGACCACGTTGGTAGCCATAGCAACGGCACATGTGATAGATATCCGCCATCCAGTGCGGTAGCTGGTCTGACAATCACATGCCGTTGTTCTTAATCTAGTGAAATGCGCCTTGCCAGCAGAGCTGAAAAGTGTTGTCCCAAGCCTAAACTCATTTTGAAAAAAAAAAAAAAAAAAAGAAAAAAAAAACGGGGGAAGTTGCAAATATCTTGGCTTTGTTCTAACCTGTGCAGAATGCCGCTTAAGCCACCTTCGCCACAGTACCCTGGTGGCCTGCGGAAAAGCATCAGAAAATTTAAGTGATGGTGACGAAATGAAATGTTGGAGGCACATGTACTGTGCAGTGTCGGTGCAGGTAGAAGCCCAGACTGTTTTTTTTAAATCCCATCAAACAGGCAAGAAGTTGCATGCATCTTTTTTGCGACCAGCATCAAGTTTTGTTTGCTTGGTTTTATGGAGCCACCGACTTTGCCGCCCGCAGCGGTCGGCGGCAGCGATTGCCAGCGCACTTGCCAGCGATGTTACCGTAGCTCAAATAGAACCAAATTTGCTCATCCACAAGAACAGCAGGAAGCAAGGCATTATTGGGGATTTCTTTTAGGCTTCTCTAACTCTAATAAGCTTCACTTTTCACGGCTTGACCGTTTTTCGGACTGTTCGATTTTTCAGCCTATTTCGCTGTCCTTGCCAAGTCTGGAGAATTGTCGGTGACTGTAGTCACAGGAGAGAGCACAGTTTGTTCAGTTACGCACCCCTGTGTACGCCGCATAATTGTGAGTTGTAATATGATCGATGACGTCTGAAAAAATCGATGGCAATCATTTGAAGCACTCTATCACATTTCTGGAGCCCTAAAGAAATCAAATAAAACTGTGCACCAGTTTTTTCTTCTTTCTCCACAACTGTTCCTCAGTTTTACGAATCTCAAGGTGGCCAGCTTGGCAGATCCACATTTGAATCGTCATAGTCTGTCAAAAGATTTTACAGGCTTGGCAAATGCTAATGTGGACTTTATCGTTGTTTGCCGAGTGGGGTGGTTCAAAATACTGCTTTTATTGAAATAATGGTGCTCATTTTTACTGCACAATTTAAGTGATGTTGAATGGTTTGCACATAGTTTTTTCGAAATGCAAACCTTCTTTTTCATACTGCTTCAGATTTGATCTTTTGTGATAAAAAAAAAGTGAATATTCTTTCCATGTAACCTGCTCCAAGTTTGAATTTTAGTGCTCCAAAAGTTACAATTGCTGCTCCAAAGATTGCTCCAAGTTCTATTTTGGCTGTTGCGCCCCTGTAGATGATTTACGTAACTTTATGAAGTGGTACTAGTGAGATATTGCAACTGAAATGTGCTGTTTTCGTGAAACCCTGTGACCAACGTGTGCAAGTTGTCATGATTGTGTGTGTTGTATGACGCACTCGACAGAGCCACAATGTTGACCATCTTTATGCATTCAAGTTTACGGTGGTACTGGTGGAGCCATAGAGCACGTCCCTGTTGTTGTTGCCCTAATTATCAGCCTTACCAGTGGTGCCCCACGTTTCTGAAATTGGTTGCAGCATGTATTATTCGGCTTCGCTTTTTCCACACTTTTGTCAGTATTGCTCACCTTCGCTGCATGTGCAGGCAGAGAGACCGGCATGGACAGGAGAGGCCGGCGCTCGAGGGACCATTCCCGCAGTGACTCTCGTAGGCACCGAAGCAGGTCGAGAGACCGCAGAGGTCACGCCAGTTCTAGGGACCGAACTTGCAGAAGAGGTGACCATGGCCACAGGGCAGGTCGAGGCAGACACAGTAGCTCTCGAGATGGTGCTTCGTCCAAAAGACCATCCGATCGAAGCCCTTCTGACGGCCAACACAAGGACGATGCAAAGGGCAAGAGTGACCCCAAGGGTTCGGGAAAGCCGGCTCTAGAGGCAAAGGCCTGCAACAAGGACACACCCGAAGGTGACCTACCTGAAGGCAGCTCTCAAGTCGGAAACGGTGCGGAGGAAGTAGCAGCTGCCACCTCCAGTGCTGTGGAAGACACCGCACACAACGCCAGAGAGGACACCGTAGACAATGCCAAAGAGGACACCACTGTTGTGAGTGGTGACGGGGCAGCTTCAGAAGCCAAAGGGTCTTCAGCAGACGTTGAAGCCAAAATTGAGCCAAACACAAAGTCTGAGAGCACTACCAAAGAGCAACAAGAGGAAAAAGGCACAGAGGACTCTAAAGAAGGAGATTTTAGTGACCGTTCCAGACCGAGACGACGGTCGTCGCGAAGCCGCAGCAGGAGTCGTTCCCGAGGCCGAGCCAGGACTGGACTGGGGTCAAGGTCGAGGCCGGCTGTGAGCGTGAGGGACCCGAAGCATGATGCACGTCGTGTCTCTCCACTCCGCAGATACGTGCGGCGAGATTCTCCACCAGGGCGCCGAAGGCCTGATATTCACAGCGAGTCGTCCCGAGGCTCGAGGCGGTCAAGATCTCGTTCCAGGGACAGAGGTATGATTTTGGAGCAGTGAAGATTTCTTCTCCCAAATGTGCCCTCCTGTGACACTTGAATCATAATTGTTATAGCAGTTTTACATCCCAAAACAAACTTCGGATTATAAGGGATGGTGTAGTAGAGGACTTCTGACATTTTGAGTATCTAGTGTCCTTTTATGTGCTCCTATGTCTAAGTACATAGGCCCCGAGCATTTCACCTTTATTGAAACATGGCCACAACAACTGCTTTTACCCATGACACTTGTACAAATGTGTTTACTTTGTGGAGGTGCTCATAGGTAGTCAATATGTTGCTTGCTATAATTGCTACTAGTGTGCGCCTCGCAAATCTGTTGAGACAGCTGCATGTGAAATTTTCTGGCCTAGTTTTGTTGGGTTCTGTGGAGTCATGCTGGTGGCTTGCTTTTCCAGGGCCGAGGGTGTCTTCTCCTGGGACGTACAGTTGCCACACCTGCAACATGGTCCTGCACTCGCGTCTGGAGTATGTCGAGGTGAGAGCTGCTGAGCTGAACTGACAGGGATGGCACCTGCAGTGAGGCACGTGCAATACTGTTGCAGTGACGTCTACTACAGTATTCTACCGATGGCCGAATGTTTGAGCACTGCAGGTGGGCATTCGGATATAATAGACTAAAATGTGAGGCCGCCAAAGTGGTAAGGACTCTCTTATTGGGGGCTTTTTACCACGAACATCCTGAATCCTAAAACTTCTACTTCAAACATCGCTTGGCATACTTTTGGGATGGCAATAGTGCCGCGGATATCGACATACCTACCGTATTTACTCGCATAATAGGCGCACCCCTAGTTTGGTTGCGGAAAATTCTGTTTTTTCAATTCCGTGCATAATAGGTGCACCCTGAACTTGGCCGTGATCAGAAACAATTCTACCCCACAGTGGTACAGTTAGAACGCGGTCCCAGTACCCTGAAGAAAAAAAGAAGGCAAATCGATGAGCAAATAAAAAGAGTTCGAAGTGCATCCACCTAACCAACGTGTTTGTCGAAATAAAACTTGGAAAAAAAAAAAAGCGTTCCTGAAAGGAAAAATAGACTGTTTCATCAATTACTGATACCCCCCAAGTCACCGCGCTCCTTGGAGGGCACGTGTACAACACCGGGGGCTCGATTGCCATCACCACCATCAGATAAGAAGAAAAAAAAAAGCCATTTTGCATGCGTATGTCGTGGTCGTGTATTCAACTTTGGTTCTACCATGGGGAAGTATGCAAGCTACACGGCTGGATTTAAACTAAATGCAGCGGCAACCGAGCTGCAAGCAGGCATTGCTGGGTTGGAGAAACCAGTATTCGGTACTGGAGGGATCAAGAAGAAAAACTTGAGGCGACAAAGAAGACACAACGGCTTTCCGTGGTGCCAAGACTGGCAGGTATCCAAACGTCCAAAAGCAACTGGTCCGGCATATGCGGGAGCTACGACAAGATGGCTGTGCTGTGTCATTGGATATTGTGCAGACTGAGGCACGCAGAATAGCCTGAGCGCAGCGCATCGAAGCAAAAGAGTTCAAAGCCAGCTCCAAATGGACAACTCGTTTCATGCAGCGCCATGGCCTCGCACTGCGAAGGCGGACCAGCTTGTGCCAGCGCTTGCCCACAGCATATGAGGACAAAATGGTAGACTTACATTGTTTCGTTATAAAGCTCCGACAGCAGAAAGACTTCATTTTGTCCCAGATCGGCAACGCTGATCAGACCCCCATTTGCTTTGATATGCTGCGAAACATGACAGTGGAGGAGAAAGGTGCACGGAGCGTCATCGCCACAACATCTGGCGCTGATAAACAACGATGCACTGTAATGCTGGTGGTGACAGCGCATGGGCGCAAGCTACCGCCTTGCATTATTTTTAAACATAACACTTCCAAAGGCAAATTTCCCTCAAAGCATCTACGACAGAGTGTAGGAAAAAGGCTGGATGAGCGCAGAACTCATGGTGGATTGGGTGAAAACAGTCTTGGGTCGGCAGCCAGGTGGTCTGTTCCTGTTCATTCATGCTTGTCCTGGACAGTTTTCGGGTCACCTTGTGGACTGCGTATGAGATTAGCTGAAGGAACTGCGCACAGATCTGGCAGTGATTCCGGGCGGCCTCACATCGATACTGCAGCCTTTGGACATGTCAAGATTTAGAGGCCGCCTGTGGAAATGCTGTGCGCTTGGATCGGGGAAGCCTGGCAGGTGATCTCTGACGAAGTCGCCAGGAAAAGTTTCAAGAAGAAGGTTATCTCGAACGCACTGTATGCGAATGAGGATGACATGGGTGCGGATGATTCGGACACCGAAAACGAATCCCCACTCGGTGAGGATGAATGTGTGCTCTCCGACTCTGACTTCGAAGAGGGAAGAGGAGGAACACCTACGACTTTTGTGTAAATTAATTTTATGTGTGTGTGTGCAGTTGATAGCTCTCTTTGTTTATCAAAAGGTACGTAGGTATGTTTGTTTTATGCTGAATTAATCGGTAAACGATAGTCGCCTTTTACTTGACAATAGTGCAGATTTGAAGCGCAAGAACCGAGTGGAAAAATTTTTTTTTAAATTTTACCCCGCACATTTTGCGCACCCCTAACTTCGAGTCTGATTTTCCATAAAAAAAGTGCACCTTTTATTTGAGCAAACATGGTATTCAAAAACGAAGGCCGAGGATCTTCAGTCTGTTAATTAGTTACGCCTAGTTACGGCAACAAAACATCAGCATGCAGGTTGCTTGGTTTTGCATGTTGGGGAGATGTCACGCAAAATTGCTGACTGCTTTAAGCGGTCGATGCATAGTGAGCTTGGCCGGGGTCCGCTACCAATACGCAATATGTCTGCCTATTTGTGGTTATAAGTAGCCAGCGGCCGATGTGATTCGTTGCTTGCGACGAAGCACATTATGCCTTTTTCACTTTTGCATATGCACTACCGCAACGGTGTTGCCCGCTAGGCTCCGGGCGGAGTAAAGCCTTGGCACGACTTCGAGCAGAAAGCGCGGTGTTTCAAAGTACAACATTGTAGATCGCGAATACGAAGATTTGTGTTTCGCGGTAGTCTTCATCACAAGGTCTGAAGCGCTGATAAGAAGAACCTTCTCGCCAATGAATGAACTCTACGGCTGTCAGTACAAGACGCGCCTGTGCGATGTTTGCGGCGAGTGCGGTGTGCAATTGTAATCTAATGATTAAACTTCTGCTTGCAGCTGCTTGAACTAAGGTGTAAATGTATCCTGAATCATCATGACCCGTAAACCAGAATGAGGGTCAGAACGATATTAAGTAGCTAAGTAGCTCGATTTCAGACGGTCCCGACTTCGCGACGCTCAAGAAGCAGACAAGGCGATCCCGGAGGCATATCCCGGAACGAGCATCGAACCAGTAAGGTGTACTGGGGCAACATGGCAGAAGCAGCCAATTCGAGGCCTTGAAATGAATTTTAAACATCTGCTTTTTGCACATGGAATGCTTTTTATGAAAAACATTTATAATGAGCCCAAAATGTGGGTGGGCAGTGGCGCTGTTGCGAATCAATGAATTTTTAGAAAGTGCTGTGTTTTTTGTTTGTTAGTTTTTTTGTGATCCACAATGATTTTCCTCACCTCAGAAGGCGCAAAAAATTTTTTACAGCACTTCTACGTAGTTTTCAGTGAAGATATTTTGAAATCAGAGAAAAAAGTGCTACAGCAACAAGATTTTATTTTTAAAATATCATCTTTTTTTATGGCCTTTTGCAAATAAATTCGTATGATTCGTAACTCTTTTCGGTTATAGCGAACCCATTGAGTGTTTCCTTAAAAGTCTGTTGTAATTATTTGGATTCTTTCATACTCCTTTTACAACTAACCAAAATTCTCTTCATTATCGAAGTCTGTTATAACGAGGTTATACTGTATGAGGGACAAATGGGTATAAGAGAGACTAGGGTACCTACAGTAAAATACGGGTTGATAAAAAATTGTATGCGAGGTACCCTCTTTATAAGAGATCTCATATAAAAAACAAGAATTGCTGCAAGGAGCATGCCTCTTATAAAGGTGTTCAACTGTCTTACAGTATTTGTATGTATCATCATGATCATCATCAACCTGGCTACATTTACTGCAAAGCACAGGCCTGTCCTATGATCAGACAGTCAACTCTGTCCTGTGCTTGCTGCTGCCCTTTTATACCCACTTATGTTTTAATATCCTCCGCCCACCTAACTTTGTCTCCCCCTTGAGCATTCGCCTTTTCTGGGAATCCACTCAGGTACCTTCAATGACCAGCAGTTATCCTGCCTACGTGATACGTGTTCGGTTCATGTTCATTTCTTCCTCTTGATTTTAACTATTATATTCATAACCCTGTTTTATTTCTTGGTTCATTTTGCTCTCTTCTTGTCTGTTAAAGGGGTCGTGAAGCGAAAATGAAAGTTCCCGGTTGTAATTTTCCCTGCTTCAGTAACGATTAAGTACACCGATTCCGAGATATTTTGGCACAATATCCAGTCTGTAACTAATGACGCTCGTTTTAAATCGCAGTTTTATGGGGCTCGCTAGTGACCATGCAGCATCATTGGTTGCTATAAGCACTAACTTGTGACATCAGTGAAACATTACAGCAAGAAAAGTTGGAAACAGAGCGTTAGCTTTATTTTTCTTTATGATAATAGCTTTATAGTAACCCAAAAAGAAAAAGTATAACAGTGCACATTTAGCACTCTGAATTGTATGATGTGGCCCGCCGCGGTGGTCTAGTGGCTAAGGTACTCGGCTGCTGACCCGTAGGTCGCGGGTTCAAATCCCGGCTGCGGCGGCTGCATTTCCGATGGAGGCGAAAATGTCGTAGGCCCGTGTGCTCAGATTTGGGTGCACGGTAAAGAACCCCAGGTGGTCGAAATTTCCGGAGCCCTCCACTGCGATGTCTCTCATAATCATGTGGTGGTTTTGGGACGTTAAACCCCACAAATCAATCAATCGAGTTGTATGATGTGCAATTACAGCGAGTGATCTGCTTGGTTCCACTTTCAAGTACATCTGGGCTCTGTTATGTGTGTATCCTTGTCTTCATGCTGATTGATGTGCCTCGATGGGTGCAGCGTCCCAGTTTTTTTTTTCTTACTTTATCTGGGAAGTTGTGTTCTACTGGGTGTTCTGGGTGGCTTAGTGCTCCCTATACCAGCAGTGTGCTTCATCAAGACAGTGCCGCACAACTTATCAAAGTGCAAACAGGGGTCTGTTTTACAAACTGCCTGGCGAGCCACAGCGTAGAGCAGTGTGGCTTCGAGCGATGTCCCCGATGGTATGGGCAAACAGAGTGGAGGCTTACAGTCAGGGATTCTGCAAGCGGACGTTCTGCCACGCAGTCGCAATACTAGTGCTTCCAAGACGCAGGCTTCTTCGCTTGTCGCTGCTGCTGCTGTCTTGTTCTGAAAATGGCCGATTTCGCACTCGCATGAGCGAGTCGGCATACGGCTCAAAGCCCAAGAGCCGACTCCACTCTAGCAGACGACGGTGTAGTT